GCAAGCGGGGCAAATTGATATTTTTTCTGTCGGCTTGTACGTACGCTAGTATCACCTTTGCCAGATTCGCCACGTAATCGGTGCTACTGCCGCAAATATACCATTTCACGTGCCCGCTACAAAACACCATCGGAGAGGCCACAGTGTGGCTCATACACTGTCGATCGGCGCGCTATTGGCTCCAGCAGGCGTGGGCAGATGGCTTTTTTAAGGAGTCACGAAGTCGCCACAAGACGCCTAATGCCGCGATTTTTCGGACTAAACAAGGGTGGCGAGGCGTGAGCTTTACTGGGTACCTGCCGACGGATGATGTCTACAAAGCCACACACTGGCTGAAGCCTCAGTAGTGGATATCCCCGCTGCCCGTCCGCGTCATGCTAAAATAGCGCATCGCACGCTTACATGTCTTGACCACCAACTCTGGCAATGCTTATGCAACCCTTTCAAAGTCATTACTACTGATTTGTTATGCTAAAGGAGTGGCTGCTGGCGGCGAGAGCAACAGCGAGGAGACCGGTGAGGAAGCGTCATAAAAGCAAAATTGGGATGCGCAGATGATGTAAGCGATGTAGATCGAGTCGTGCCGAATTACACGAGCCCGAAGAGTACATAGGTATTCACTCAGTAAATGGAGAATTGAGCGGAGATTATAATAGTGCTATTTTTATGTGGTTGAGCAATGATTTATAGAATTAATTATCTTCACTTCAATGCTAGTGGTGACTTAGACGCTAGTGGCGACCTTGCTTCTTATCCCAAACCAATTTTAATGGCTGGCGCAGAATTAGCGCCCACGCCACAGTGGGTGCCAAGCTGTTAATATCGGAGATCTTGGTTGACAAATAACTGAACCGCACTCAGCCGTCATCTAATTCGTCGCCGCTTCTGCCGGGACTTTCCTCACGTGCCAGAAAATGTTTGCGGGTCAAGGAACAAAGAAGCGGAGGAGCACAAATTGCGAAGCTTTCATATTTGTGATGTTGCGTTTTAAATACACTAGTCATTTTACTTTCGATCTTGCCTCCGCATTCTCCTCATTCCCATTTTTCCTTTTTAGTGGCGTGTTCGATCGTCGTACCGGAAAAGCAAAGCAGTACATATTAAATTGAGCCCTGTCATGTGACTTGATAGATTGAGTAGATTTATAAAGCAACTTACAACCTTCCAAGGCCAGTCTCAGCCGTACCAGATGTCACAAGAGTCCTGACACGAGATGAATGCGAACCTCTACATGGATTTTCAAGACTTGCTGATGCGCCTCGCGCGGTTTCTCATTTCAAATGAGAGCCGAATCACAGCCGCAGATGTTTCACACTGCTTTCGACAGCTTCCCGATAGCGAGATGGCCACACTGAGGCGGCTTTTTGTCATGCTTCAACACTATCAGGTCTGTACTATTTGCTGATCGGGCCTGTTGCGCTCATTTAACTGACTTGTACTGATGACATTGGTTCAGCCCATAGAATCGGACATGACGCTTAGCAGAGCGACTGAACAGCAACCCCCCAAGCTGCCTGTGAAACGCTTGTGCTCTGGTAACGCTGTATCGCCTAAGAGATACAGGAAAGCCTACTACCAAAGCGCCAGAGAGCATAGCCGAGCTTGTTCGTCGCCCGCACTATCTTGTACTCCAACCGAGCGACGCTCTGATACCAGCTTTCCGGAGCAGGTCGACCTGTTTCAAACGTCATTAACAACAAATGCTCCAACTACGACGGTGCAGGTTGCGGCGAATGACCAGCATGAACGGAGTTCCGATTGGCTGGCTATACAAGGTGGCGAAATCAAACTTATCCCTCATACGGAGAAACTTCTGCGCAATTGCATGCTAAATCCTAGCAACTTTTTTCGCCACATCAAGACCGCCAAAGTCGCACTGCCAAACGGTGAGGGCTGGGAGGCTGCTATAGCCACTAAAAAGGATAACACCGACGCTCGGGGCTTACTGAGGATATATCACAGATTCGAGTGTTACAACATATATTGCCATGTTGTCGGGGCAGGGTTCCACACCGGCAAGCACTGGATACGAGAGGGCCGCCTCGAGCTAGGCAAAAAGCTACGCCAAGCCCACCCAGACCGTTTTCCAGATCAGAGGGCCACGAATCAATGCTTGAATTGGGTGGATCAAGGCTTCAAATACTGCCAGTGGACCGAGTTGCTCGGTTCTACTCCAGATCTGGGCTATCTCATAGCGCTGCCTTACGATGTACCTCACTCAGCGTATGCCTTCGTTATAACAGTTCATAGTGGCACGACTGACAGATGCTATATAGGTACACTTCGAGATGCACAAAGGAGCAAATGATTGTAGCCGCTATGCAGTTGAAGGAAATTGGTATAGCTCAGCTTGTTGAAGATCTAAAACTCTCGGAGTTGGGTCGGTTTATTGCGGTTACACTGAAGTATATGACCTCGAAAAATCAAACTCGTGCTGATGGTAAGATATTTGGCTAGACGGCACCGTACATTGCAACGCCTTAGCTCACTCTTCTGGAATAGATGCGTTCTTTTCAAGTTCGCCAGAGTCACCCTGCCCGACATCCTCAGATCGGTGTAGTACTGTTCTGAATACCGATACTTTTCGCACAAACTCTCCCGATCCAATAGCTTTTGGCTCTGACAGTGATGCCGTCATATTTTGCGAGCAACAGCGAGATCTCGCGCAACACTTGAAACAGGATTGGCCACCTCTCGACACAGGTAGCGTCACATCGTCCCCGAACCTTGACTTCATGTTTTCCGATGAAGACTCTAGAACTGGTACGTTTTATATTCTGATGTCATGCTTGCTAAACGTGCTAACCTGAGAAAGTCGAACCGAGCTTGCTGCATCCTGAAATGTCTTTTAACGAGTGTCCATAACTCTTTTCATTAGCTGAGGGTGCGCAAGGTAATCAAATGACAGGGATAGCTCTATCAATGGCGAATTAGTATTCGGAGACAGTAGTGATGTATGTTGGCAGGTAACAGGGCCTATAGGTACTATTGACAGTGTGATGTGCTACAGGCGGAGAGCTTCAGTCACTTGATGATCCTAGGTGGCTCGGAATGATGGTGGAATATCGCTGCCTCCTCCCCGCTACCTCGTCGGCAGCTCGCCGCTATATAGCAATTACCTCCCACGTGATCGTTGTAACCTCTTACTCCTAAGGCGCCTTGCGTATGCCCTGACAGACAGGGAAGTAAGCCTATTCTACTATTACTTCCCTTCTTTCACATCTTCCGATCTACCAAGTAATAACTCGCGAGGAGTATATACACTACTGGCCTGAAAGCTTTGTTACGTCATCAGAAAGAAACAGCGTACCCAGAAAGAGATTAGGTTTGAAATGTTCTTCCGTGCAAATGTCTCGCGAATTGTTGTATGTTCGTTGTATGTTCAGTTGTTGATCTGGACCGTCGACTTTAGCGGCACGTAATGCGAATCGTTGGGCACGCCTCGATGCCCACCACCCGCTTACACGCCGCCTCCTACAGCAGGAGCACGAGATCCAACACGCCACCCATCCAGAATCGGCCACAGTACCCCGGACAGTGACGAAAACCGTCAGGCTCTTCCGCAACGCTGCTCTAGCGCCAACGGCAGAGCGGCCCCGTCTCAACCCTCAGCGCTTCTCCAGCGCTATCTGGACAGAAGGCGAAAAACACCGCCCGCCAAAAGAACGCCAGGCAGAAAGGATCCAGAAATGGAGCCAGGAGGTTTCCGGACTGGCTGTCTTTAGTGATGGCTCCAAGACAGAACAAGAGACAGCGGGTTTTGGCTATGCTGTATATCGACAGCGACAGCTGATCGCGCAAGGATGCGGACAGATAGGCAAGGGCGAGGTGTTTGATGCAGAGATCAGAGGCGCCCTGGAAGGCCTCCGCGCTGCCCTTGCGCATCGACGCCGAGGGGAAGGAATCACGGTGTGTATTGATAACACCTCTGTTATCGACTGCATAGGCGCGACGGCGCCGCCATCATCGCAGATGGCGTTCCGCACGTTCCAGAAGACAGGCGATGCTCACACAGGCATGATCCGCGTGCGATGGTGCCCAGGGCACACTGGGATCGAGGGCAACGAGCTGGCCGACCAGCTTGCCAAAGAAGGTGCAAAATTGCCGGTAGGAAACAGCCTCCCGACAGTTTCCTACTGCAAGCGTCACATGCGCCGACTACTTCCTCTGGCTTTCCAGCGGTGGTGGGAGACAGTTGATCGTGAAAGTTATCACGGACTTCATTTGAAAGCCGAACTGAAAAAGCTCCCTGAGCTGACACTTCAACGACGGCAGCTGGGATATCTCCTAGCCGCGAGGACACACCACGGAGACTTCGCCGACTACCACGAGCGCTTCAATCACGAAGACGCCAAAATCAACTGCCCATGCGGGCGCCAGAAGTCTCCAAGTCACCTCTTCTACTGCAGGAAGATCCCCCGCAGCCTCAGGCCTCGGCTGACACCCGAGCCTGAAGCTGCGATATGGAGATACCTGGGTAGATCCTTCCAAACCTATGTGAAGCTCGCTGACTTCTATGACTCGAAGATCAACAAGCGATACTTAGGAACGGAAGGCGCTCTCAGCTGGCGACTGAGAGACGAATAAATGCCCAAGCAGGGCTAACTGCTTGTAAATACTCATAATCGCATCTTCTTTGTTACGTGGAAAACACGCGTCAAAACCAGCCTTGTTGCTAGACAAAGCTGTAATACAGCACGAGTAGCTATCCGCTGACGGAAGCCGCTCCCAGTAAAAGCTGCCAATCGAAAAGAAACAGTTCTTTCTCAATTGGCGCGCAGCTGCTACTATAGGAGGAGGATCGCGTCATGGAATTGTTACGATAGCCCCTGGTGAGAACGTGGGTGCGCCTCTGGGCACACCCCGTCACGCTAGTCGGAACGGCGGCACGATCATCCGTAGAGCATAGCTAGCACGTCTCTTTGCTTAACCTAGAGCTTCAACATAGACGTTAAATAATAATCTAAACCTCGCCTGGCGCTGACGGCATCACAGTGAACATGCTCCAGACACTCTGGCCAACAATAGGACATCTTGTCACAAACATCTACAATGCGTGCTTACAGCAAGGCTACTGCCCGAGCGCATGGCGCACAGCTGAGGTGGTGATGATACCAAAACCGAATAAACGGGACCTCACGGACCCATCGGCATGGCGACCGATCTCTCTACTCTCCTGCTTAGGCAAGGGCATGGAACGCATTATTGCTAAACGAATGTCTTATCTAGCCATCAAGCACAAGATACTACACCCGAACCAAGCGGGCGCTCTGCCCCAACGGAGTGCTACTGACATTGCTGCTGCGCTAACACATGACGTGGAGCAAGCACGACGGAGAAGGAAGCAGAAGAAAGTCGTCACGCTAGTGACAATGGATGTAGAAGGGGCTTTTGACGCCATACTGCGAAATAGGCTCATACTACAGCTACGCAAGCAAGGTTGGCCGGATTTCCTCATCCGCTGGCTTGCGATGTTCCTCGCACACAGACTAGCAAGCGTCCGCTTTGAGGACGCCACCGCGGAAGCACTGGAGCTCCTTTGTGGCATCCCGCAAGGCTCCCCTCTCTCGCCGATCCTATATCTGCTAGCGACAGCGGCACTCTACATGCTCCCTGGCGCTACGCAACGATATGGCTATGCCGATGACACCGCCATGCTCTTCGTTGGAGACACGCTGGGCGAAACTACCACCCAAGCGAATGCCGCAATTGCCGCGATGGAGGAATGGGGCAGGAGAGAAGGCTTCGCCTTCGACGTTAAGAAGACAGAAGTGATTCACTTTGCGAACGAAAAGCGAAGCAACCTACCGCCCATCCAGCATCAAGATCGGTCGGCAAATCATCCCTTCCGAGAATACAAATCCTTCTAGCGATGCCCCGGCAGAACAAGATGATGCTCCAGCAGAACAAGAGATCCGCGTTCGAACGTTACCCCGGCACTCTCCCCCGAGCAGCCCGCCGCGGGAAGCCCGACGACGAGACCAATCGCCACCGAAAAGACGGATGAGAACCCGATCTACAGATGAGTAACAAAAGACGACACAATCCTCATCCAGTGACAATCAAAGTCTTTCAGGCAAACGTGGACAAGGCAAAAGAAGCACACAGCGCCGCCCTCCAGCTCGCGTTTCTGGAGGGCTACAATGTAGTGATCCTACAAGAGCCAAACACGTCCTATAACAAAGAGAAAAAACTTTGCCGAACCCAGTACCATCCAGGCTTTCTTTGCTTCAGCCCGGTGGACTTTTGGCACAACAACGACACACGCCCACGCGTGATGACATACGTCAAAATAGATCGCAAGATCCAAGCTGAACAGATCACACCAGCTAAACATCGAGACCTTCTGTGGGTCAGGGTAAACGGGATCACTATCCTCAACCTCTACAACAGACCGGAAGTGGAGAGCACACTGCAAGTACTCGAAGAATGGACTCCACCAGAGAACTGTATCGTCGCCGGCGACATGAACGCCTCCCACACCTCCTGGCAGGCAGACAGACCAGCCTCACAAGATGGAAATCGCATCCATGCATGGACAGAAAGACACGACCTCGATCTATTGAACGAGCCCGACGAGGCAACAACCATGGCGAAACGCTACACAAGAAGCAGCACAATTGACCTGGTCTTCTCAAACATACCAGAAGCGTCTGCCACGGTGGAAGTGCACCTCACGACAGGATCCCTCCACTACACCATCGGTATCGAGATTCCGGATCGGGAACCAGCCCAAGTTACACGGGGAAAAGTTAGAGTCACCACGCCAGATGAGATCAAGGCCTTTGGAGACCACGTGGGCAAGGCGGTGAAGTCACTGCCTACCGACGTAGACTCGCAAGCCCAGATCGAGGGCATGGCCAGACAGCTTCAAGAGATTCTTCAGAACTCCGCCAAGGCATGTGGTAGGGTAAATCGCGGTCGCCGCGCACGAGGCTGTCCCTGGTGGAACCAGGAGTGCAAAGACGCACACGACGACCTCCGTATTACACGACGCATTTACGAGAACCAAACAGGAGAGGAAGTGCAACGCTCCAGAGTCAGATTTTACCGCATCCTACGACGCACAAGGCAGAAATTCTGGCGTAATACAATCAACGAAGTGACTAGCGCAGAAGGCGTTTACAAACTCACCAGATGGATGAAACCGAGACAACGACTCCAACCCCCGCCGATCCAGGTGGGCGACATGACGTACTCTACTGACGTAGAGAAGGCCATGGCGCTACGGAAAGAGAAACTGGAACGCCGCGACGCGTCAGACGACATCGCCGACGGATGGCAACCACCAGTTCATCCTGCCAAGGAGATCCCATTCGCGAGAACCATCTCGACCAAAGAGGTTGAGAAGGCTGTCTTACACACCGGAAACACAACGCCTGGCTCGGACGGTATTACGACCAGGATGCTGCAGGCAGCCTGGCCACATATTGCCCGACCAGTCACGAAACTATACAATGCCTGTCTGAGACTTGGGCATCATCCCAGCGTCTTCAAGACTGCTGAGGTTGTCATGATTCCGAAGCTCAACAAGCGGGACCTCAGTAAGGTGTCTACATGGCGCCCGATATCGCTTCTCTCCTGCCTCAGCAAAGGCCTAGAACGAGTGATCGCGAGAAGAATGGCATATGCCGCCATCAAATATGGCATCCTCCATCCGAATCAGGCTGGTGCGCTCCCAAAGCGGTCCGCCGTAGACATTGTGGTGTCCCTGATCTACGATATCGAGAAAGCACTCGCGGCCGGCCAAGTGGCAACGCTAGTCACGGAAGACGTTATGGGTGCTTTCGACGCCATCCTTCGCAACCGCATGATCCTCCGCCTACGGCAACAGGGATGGCCGGACTTCTTAATCCGGTGGATACTGACAGCACGCCCACAACACGGCGACTTTTTAGCTTGCGTCGCTGCTCTTGCACACGATATTGTCGAGCTTGCGAGTCATGGCGCAGGATGAAACAAATCGACGATGTACCATGTCACGGAAGTCAGACCGCTATACAGGTACTGATGGTAGGCTACTACTATGTCTATTTGGAAAGTGTCTTCGAAGGAACCAAAAGACTTCAAGAGCTGAAAGCTGGCCAGCTTTTTCGTTCTTGCTATTGCAGCACGATACAACACCAAAATGGTTCTGTTCCTTCCA